ATGATATCACCAGCACATCCAGGGTTGCCTTTTCTTTCATGTTTTATCCTTGCCATCTCCCACTCCTGTTCTTTGGAATCATCTCCCCAAATAAACCACCTGTATATAAAGATTTCTGTCAGGATGTTTATGGAGAAGGAGAGCAGGCTATCTGTGCACTGGCAGTGGTCAAATACCATGACTCTCACCCTTCTACCAACTTAAGGCCCTGTGGAAATTTTCACATGTACAAAGGGACGTGTACAGGACTTTTCAAAACATCAAAACAGAGAAGGGGTGCTGGGGCTGTAGCTCGTGGCGCCATGCCTGCCTGGAAAGTACAAGGTCCTGAAAAATAAAAAGCAAAAACAAAAAATAGAAAAGGGGGTAAAAACCCAAATGTCTATCAATAAGAGAATTATTATGTAATTTTATTATTTTGACATCAGTGGAAATGAACACCCATTTAGATATACCCAGGACAGGTGACTTTCAAACAAAGTATTGAGCCAAAATGTAATGTGCAGATGAAGAAATTTCGAACCTAAGTATGTGAAGTTCAAAACATGAAAAACTGAACAGGATATTGTTTGAAGACATGTACATGTTTGTTAACATAAAGAAAAATAAGGAAATTCTAAACAAAATTCAAGACGTTATTTTGGGAAGGGAAACATAAAGGAACTCATTGGAAGGTACAGGTAAGGTTCCAATAGTGTTAAGATTCTGTTGCATAAGCTAATACCTGATAGCTTATCATTCTTTTTGTTTTCCTTGGGGTCTTGCACATGCTAGGCAAGTGCTCTCCCACTGAGCTCCATACCCCCAGCTTATACCTCACACTTGGTTTGTATTTTTTAGAATGATTTTTTTCTTAGTACCAGAGATTGAACCCAGGGGTGCTTTACTACTGGGCTACATCTCCCTCCAATCCTTCTTATTTTGTATTTTGAGATATCACCAAGTTCCCCAGGCTAGCCTCAAACTTGTGATCCTCCTGCCTCAGCATCCCAAAGATCTGGGATTACAGGCAGACATGAATAATAAGATATTTTATCATAAAAGACTAGCTGGCCATGGTGGCGCGCACCTGTAATCCCAGCACTCTAGGAGGCGGAGGTAAGGGGACTGTGAATTAGGGCCTAGTCTGGGCAGTTTAGCAAGAACTGGTTTCAAAAACAAAAAGAAAAAAAAAGTTCTGGGAATGTAGCTCAGGGAAAAAGGCCTTGGGTTCAATCCCTAGTACTACCATCACCACACACACACACACACACACACACAAAAGCCTTGATATTAAGAAAAGGTTACTTTTGTGAAGGGTGACTGTGAAATCACTCTAGTTCCCTAACATCCAGTCCTTCCAGAAATGAACTAGGTAGAGACCCCATCTCTTAATGGTGATTAGTTTACATACTAGGACTGCCTCTGGAAGACAAGACCCTAGATTTAATACTTTTCTCTTAAGTATTACTTCTTTTATCAGTCACTGGATGGACTAGATGTAAAAGAGGATTTAAATAAAAAAACAGACATATCTGGAACAGTCCTGACAGCAGATCTTTCTGTGTGATAAAGTGGTGCCAATAAAGACTTTGCTACTCACTGTGCTGTTTGGGTGGCGAAGCAGCACCAGCATCCCTTGGAAGCTTCCTGGAAACAGAATCTAGGTCTCACCTTAGAGTATACATTGCAACAAGGGTTCCCCAGCTGAAACTTGGGGATATTGAAGTTTGAGAGACACTGGCCCGGGAGTCCTATAACTGCACCTGCAAAAGCAGCATCCAGCAGAAATGCAGCATGTGGAAATAACTCAGGTTTAACTAACAGACCTTTTCACAGACTCTCTTTGATGGTGATTCTATGGCCCACGTATTTACAAGTAGAGACTTTACTTACTCCTCTCTCCTCTTTCAAATTGTGCTGGGCTGTGGCACTCTCATCCATCCAATAATGACACCAAAAATGTACTGAGCTTCTCTTGAAGACATGATAGTGAACAGAGTGACATAACTGACTCAGGAGCTTACAGTCCAATGGGAGACAGATACCAAGTGAGCAACTGCATATTTAGTGAGTGTTAGAAAGACAAAGACACCGGGTGTGGTAGCGCACACCTGTAATCCCAGTACCTGGGAGGCTAAGGCAGGAGGATTGCTGTGAGTTTGAGGCCAGCCTGGGGTACATAGTTTGAGGCCAGCCTAAACTACAGAGCTAGAACCTGAATTAAACAAAACAGAAAGGCAAAGGGAATTTTATCAGAAAAGAGGTAGAGATGGGGAGTCAAGGGTAGCTTCCTGGAGAAAGTATTACTTAAATTGAGATGAGAAGGCATATGAGGGTGGGTTGTGGTTGAGCTGGGGAACATTGATGTTCCACACACAAGGAACATCAATGAAGATAGCTCTTTGGACACTGGTGTTTGTCTTCCATGCCTTGCACAGTTCTTGCCACATACTGTTTACAAGTGTTTGCTGAATCAGTAAGTGTGCTGCCACATTTCAGACACCACCTCTCTGGCACTGGAGATGGTGGTGGCTTTATTTCCCTTCTCAAAGGAAATAAGATACCTTAATGGGGAATGAGAAGGAAGACAGACAGCTGACTATTGTGCAAATTGCTAAATTGAAACTATGAGTGGGAATGAAAAATTGATTTACATGAATTTTCTTCCCTATAGCAACCCAACAGTTTATTTTGTTCTGGAGAACTTTGAATTTCTGGCTTCAAAACCAAGCTGTTCCTCCTTATTCTGAATTTCTTGGCCTGCTGTGAAACTAGCATTCACTGTCTTTCTCAGCATACTCTTGATTAGGCTATGGAAATTCACAGCTAGATCAAACTAGTATATGGAAAATTTGAAGCTTTTATTGCCTATTTTACTTTATAGTACTGGAAGGTATTATGAAACACTGATTTTCAAATCTTTTTTTTCAGAAGCAATACTATAGAATGATAATTGCCATCATTTGTTCAACACCTACTATTTGTATTATATAAAAGCCTCAAATTAACTCTGCAAAAAGCAAGCCATATAAAAAATGCCAAATATCTGTGATTTCATATGGTTCAACTTAAAATTGTCTTCAAGCTGTCACCTTAGAAAGGTTATGGAATCCCTCATAGCTATCTTACCCTAAAATTTAGTAATGAGTTTTCTATAAAGTTTTCTTTATATACCTCCCAAATTGGGGAAGAGTTACAGCTCCTCAACACCCACTATTTTCCCCACATTAACCCAAGCACTGTGTCTACTTCCAATTATGGTGGTTGGTATTTCGTATTGAGGTGGTTTATAGCCCATCTTCCTCTCTAGACTAAGTTGCGTGGAGGTGAGAATATTTGTATCTTTTGTATCTACAGTTATAAAAACTTGTTAAATAAAGTGAATGTAATATCTTAATAAAATTTCTTGTGGCAACTAAATCTTTATTGACTTGTTACTAGATATTAAGTTGGATTGTCAACTTGACTGGCTTGAGAACCACCATTAGTAAAGCACACTTCTGGATGTGTTTGGTTGGGTCATGGAGGTATGATCTTTGGTATTATGTCTGCTCCCTTGTCCCCCTTCCTCTGTGGTATTGTTCATCTGCTCTGCTTCCTAGCCACCAGGAAGTGAGCAGCATTGTTCTGCCTTGCCCTTTTGTCACAGTATTCCTGTCTTGGAGCCCACTGACCATGGACTAAAACCTCTGAAACCAAGAGCCAGATTAACCCTCTCTTTCTTTAAATTGTGGGTGTTGGGCATATTCTCCCAGCAACAGAAAAGCTGACTAATACACTGGAAACTATAAGTACTCCTTTAGAGTTTTTTGCATTTTAGATTATCTGTTAAGTGCTGCGTTTGGTATTCTTGGACTCTGAGAACTTTATCTGTGAACAATTGTGCAGAAATTGTCTCTCCATTATATTCCAAAGATCCAAAGATTACTCCTTCAAGTATTTGCTTAAATAGCACTTCTCAGTGTAGTCTATTGAAGACTGAAACCATCTTTCACAGCACACACCAGCAAGTAACATAGTTTTTATTTTATTTCTTTTGCATATCATCTTTTTGATCTCTCTGGGATGTAATGTCAGCGAAGGCAGGAGGTTTTGTCTATATTCTGTCCTCTGGCGTATCCCCAACATCAAGAATAGTGTTTGGTAAGGACCCGAGTTCCATCCCTGGTACCAAAAAAAAAAAGGATAGTGTTTGGCGTACAGAAGATCTATAAAATTTGAACAGAATGAAATGACAAAGAACTAATTAATTTTAAAGTCAAACTCTCCCACCTCATCTCTGAACCTCCACAGAGCGGTTCACATAGGATTTTTTTTATCTGTGCACGAACGGACAAGATCTTTAATTCTGATCTAAATGGACAGGTGTCCGGGGTGTATGTAGCTAAAGATTCTGTCTTCAGCTTCCACGTGACATGATGACCTAGCCTGGTTTGGATTTTACCTTGCCTGGATACTGAAGAACGTCCACATCCCCAGTGGACTGTAATCCATTGTCTGAACAATTTCAAGATGCCCCACACGGCCTCACTCACGTCGTCCCCGTCTCCGTCCTATCAAAGGCCCAGGGATCGAGATATTAACCGACCTCGTTTCCCTCTTTCCATGGTTTTCCTGCTATGGGAATGGATGGAAAAGAGATTCACACCCTGGAGCCGGGGCGGGATGGTGGTGAGGGGTAAAAGATGGAGCAGGAGGAAGGGCGTGTTTCTGAATTTTAGGCTGGGGGGGTGGGGAATTAATGACGCGACAGCTGCCGGGCGCTCACCAGCGGGTGGAGAGACCAGGGCAAAAGCGGCGAGCACTCGAGGCCCCGCCCATCTTCCTGCGGCCCCCCTCCCACTTTGGGAAGCCTGGGGGCGGGGTTTGTTTACTCCCTGCACGCACTGCCGGCCAGGCCAATCCGTGGGAAGCGTCGCCTTGCCTCACGCATCTTGCCGGCCAATCGGCTCACAGCGTGCTGCTCCGCCGCCAAAGCTTGCGCGGGGGAAGCGGGGCTGTAGCTCTGTGGAGTGAGGGCGGTGGAGTGAGGGCGGTGGAGTTGGCAGCGGTGTCGGCTGTGCCGCCGTCGCTGCCTGGCACCCGGGGCGCGCCCTGCCTCTTTCTCTTTGGGTAGGCTCGAGGGTGCGCGCACGGTCAGCGTCCCAGGGCCTGGAAGTCCCGGCCCTCTACCCGACAAGCCTGGATCTCTGGGTGTGAGTCCGCCGGGACCTAGCTGTAGCCAAGTGCTGGCGCCGGAGAAGCGGCGGCGCCTGAAGACTCACCCGAGGCGCGGCCCGACAGTCTCGCGGCCGCCTGGTCCTCCGCTTCCCAGCGGCGGTAAGGTCCGGGGCAAGGGTGCGGGCCTGCGGGCCTGCGCGCCTGGGGCCTTTGGACCCGCCGGCGCCTGCCCCGGCAGCTTTCCCTCCCCGAGCCTGAGGATCCCTGGTCCTCGGAATCGCATCTCTGTTCCTACGGGTGCTACCCCGCTACCGCGCAGATGATTTGGGGAGGTAACGTCCCTGCATCACGCCTGGTGGGAGAGGGGAACGGTTACTTAATACTTTGCCTCGTCGGGAAAAGGATGGCTTCCGAATCTGGTTTTCTGACTTTCCCTGCTTTCTTGATCCTCAACCTCCGTCTCCATCAGGTGTTTCTTAGGGTTCCAAAGCCTAGTGTACCTGAACCTCGCGTCCTCCCTAAGGGAACTTTTCTTTCAAAGGATTACTTCTTTTGGGCCCAGAGTCCTTTGAGACATTCTGGTCGTACACTTTTTTTTGTATTTTGGTACCAGGAATCGAACTCGGGTCCTTGTGCTTGCAAGGCAGGCGCTGGAACCACTGAGCTAAATCCCCAGCCCCTTTGAGACATTCTGGAAACCATAATCTCTCTTCTTAGAGCAGTAGGAAGGTTTTTGTGGGATCTCGCAGAGAAAGACCACTGCGAAGGGGACGCAAGCTCAGCACATATTCCCTTGGGTCTTGTGAGCTCGGTGTGTTCATATGTAAAAAAATAGTTGCGAGGGCAAGGAATTGGGAGGAGAAAAGGGACTAATCTTTAGAACGCACTTGGAACAAAGCTCAGCGCGTATTAAGTGCCCTGCACTGAAAGGAGTTAGGCATTTTTATTAACTACCATGGATGTTGGTTCAGCAAGGGATTCCGTATTGTTTCTCTTTTTCTGTTGAAACAGTAAATAAGCTTATGTTTTTTCAGTTTTCACTGCTGAAACTCCCTTTGAGCCCTTGAATACTTTTCCACATTCCATCTCAGAAGCTCAGACTCTCTCAGTTACTTGCTTTCCTTTACTAAGTCATAGCTCATTCTTCCCTTTCTCCATTCTCTCTCCCATTGTAGTTTTATGCCTTTTCATTTGACTTCTACATCTTAATGTTTTTTTTCCGGTGATGGAGATTGAACCCAGGTCCTTTGCACTGAGCTGTGTCCCCAGCCTTTAAAATTTTTTTTAGACAGGGTCTTTTGCCCAGGCTGGACTTGAATTTGGGATCTTCCTGCCTCAGCCTCCCAGAATGCTTGGATTACAGGAGTGTGCAACCCAGCTACAGCCTAATTTATTTTTCTGGGTTCCTTATATTGTACTCTCTTATAGGATTGAAATAAACTTCACCTAATAAATATAGTTGACATTCATGTGTTTTCTATGGTGCAATCATGACCTTGTCTCTTCAGAATTAAATATAGTTTAATTTATCTGCATTGCATCTTGTTTTTCCATATAATTAGTCAGGCTATAATTTAGTTTAAGCATTATCACTATCATATTACTATAATTAATCTTTACGTCTGGCCAGTCTCAAATAGCACCAGGAGAAAAAATCCAATGCCCAGACCCCAGGTTCTATCGCACTTTTGTACTGGGTGTGTTATTTGTAAAGAACATCTTGTGCCTGGAACTAGTCTAGTCTAATGGCAGACCTGCTGTCTGTAACACTGTTCTGGCAGTACAATTGCAGTTCAGCACTGAAGCGCTGAATTGTTTATAAAGGGCCAAGATTTACTAAACTCTTTTGTTTTTTCATTTTTAGTTGCTTAATTAAGGAGGAAAATTGAATTTTTCTAGTGTGTAATAATGTACTTCCTACTACCATTCTGTGATTATGTAATCAATACCCCACCCTATTCTTGTGAATGTATATTCCCTGGATGGCACATGCAAGTTTTTTTGGTATCTGGAATCGAACTCGGGACCTTGAGCTTTTGAGGCAGAGGTGGTGCCACTGAGCTAAATCCTGGCCCAAGATGCAAGTTTTATCCTTGCAGCCAAAATTGTAACTGAGCTATGTGCTCTCAGTACAGCTTGGAAAGGCATGTATAATCTTTTCATTGTCTTTTAAGCTCATTGCACAATTTATCATAATGGATCTCAGAAGAAATTAGAAAGAATAGATTGAGAGGGTTTTTAGGTTGCAATAGATTTTAAAGATGATTAAATATACTTGCCACTTCATACTTGGATGCTTTCCATTTTGACCTGAGACATATGACTGTCTAGGTGTGGGGCATGAATAGATTTTAAAAGTAGGTTTATGAATCCTTGGGAATGTTTTGCAAAATTATTTGAATTTGTATATTGTTCTGGAGAGATGATTTATAGTTTCTGAGGCCAAGCTATTTGGACAACTCTAAATCTTCCGGTTATTTCTTTTTGCTGAACTGGAAGTTATGGTCTCATTGTGTATGTATTGTCTCTTTTTATTGTAAGTTTTCAAATATTTGAAGAGAATACATCCACTGGTGCTTCTCTTGGCAAAATAGCCTCTTCTGTTGGCTTTTTTTTGGTCATTGTTTTCATTTGAACCTCTTCACAGTATTTATAATTTACTTATGGATTTGTTTTAGTTAATCCATATTCTTAAAAGTAGGTTATACAAAGTTAGGCATTAACTAGTATAGAAGATGAAAGTTACCTCTCTGGTTTTAAAAGCATATACTTAGGAGTAGATTTGCTTCTTTGGCAACCACATCCCACTACTTCTTAATAATGTATACTGGTGAAGAAGGTAAACTCGGCTAGCCTTCCTGGCTTTAAACCCTAGCACTACAATTTATTGACTAGATGACCCTGAATTAACTCTGAGCTTCAGTTTTCTCATCTGTAAAATGGGGTTAATAATATTACATATCTCATAAAATTGTTTAAAAAGTTAATGTAGAAGTGTAAAGTATTCAGAATGGTCCCTGACATTTGAGTGTAATGCATATGTTACCTGTTATTACTGATTTTGTAGTCAACTGAAATTCTTTATATTGTTCTGTTCACGTTCTCTCAATTTATTTATTTATCTTTTTGTGGTTCTACGGATAGAATCCAGAATCTTGTATGTGCTAGGCAGATGTTCTACTACTGAGCTGCAAAAAAAAGAGCCTGCTCCCTCTCCTAATTCTTTTTTTTTTTTTTGGTACCAGGGATCGAACTCGGGACCTTGCACTTGTGAGGTAGGCACGGTGCCACTGAGCTAAATCCCTGGCCCTTCTCTCCTAATTCTTAAGTCATGCTGTCCTAATTCTTTTTTCCTCCTGATACTGGGAATTAAACCCAAGTGTTCTACCAGAAAGCTATATCCCCACTCCTTTTGAGACTGGGTCTCTGTGTGGCTCAGGATTACTTTGAACTCTTTATTTTTTTTTCCATTAAGTTTATTGATACATTTTAGATATAAAATATAGTTACATTCATCATTGGGATCTTGTACCTGTACGTGATGTATCTTGGTTCTAATTTTTTTCCCCTTCCCCTGCCCTCCCTTCACCCCCTCCACCCTTCTCTATTTGCGAAGAATTTGTTTCCATTTTTTTTCCTTTTCTCATATTTTTTTCTTTTCCCTTCTTTCCTTTCCCCTACTCCTCCCACTTCCCCTACTCCTTTAGACCTTTTCTTCCTATTTCACAATATCAGTTATACATTTTTAAAATTACAATATCAAAATTTAGAGGATATTACCACAGATTTTACAGAATTTAAAAGGATATAGAAAGCATATTACAAAAATCCTTTTTGAAAT